GGTGAGCCAAGATACTCCAGCTCGGGAAACCGAGGTTATGGGAGGCCGTACGATTCTTTTCCCTTGGTCAATAGGGCCAAGGGTTTAGGCATCGGGTGCTCCGGGTCTCAAATAGAGACAAATAAGGAGTCAAGTGCTAGGAACCTCATGTTCTTATAATCCTCCAGTAGGATGTGCCTTGTAGCGAGGTCTCGGATGCAAATCCGAATCCTAGGTGTCGGCAGAGGAGAAAAGGGTAGCGGTTAGGATGATGGAGTTAGATTTTCTAACTCGGGATACCCCGAAAGGGGTATGGTGGAAGGACTAGGGGTCTCGGGCAAACCCGAGAAATCGGGTTGTAGGAGAAGGCCAAGGACCGGGGTGGAGTGATTAGTTCCGCGGGTAGGTAGGGACACTACAAGAAGGAGTTGTAGGTCCCGGATGACGAGGTAGGGAGAGTCCGAGGTAGAAGGACGTTGACCTCGGAGGAGTAACCGAAGATGCTTCGGTTCTCGGTGGTAGGTCAGGAGGTGAGGTTTCCACATTTAGGTGGAGCTTCCTCGGGTAGGATGCTCAGGAGATGGTGTGAGCTGGGAGGTGTCGGGACACCGGGTAGAGTCGGTGTAGGTTGGAGCGCTAGGACACTCCCTCTCGAGGTGGAGCACGTGCACTCACGTGTCTCATTCTCGGTGGAGCATTCGTAGATAACTAGGAGCGTCTTCACGGGATAAAACCGTGGGACAATTCTAGTTGGCAGGTTAGGGTCCGAGGGTAGAAGTCGTATACCTATAGGTAGTATAGACTTCACGGGGATCCGGGCTAGGTATCTAGCAGGTTCGATAGTATGGCTCAGGTTAGTCTCGGGGTAGTCGGGTTAGACTCGGGAGACAGGTAGATGTCAGGGTTAACTCTCGAGGGTGCACAGGTGAAGTTTTAGACTTCGTCGGAGAGAGTTATGTAGACGGTCTAGAGAGTCATAACTAGTCGAGGTCTTAGCTAGTCTTCGGAAAACGGAAGGTGTCGGGGACACTCGTTTTGGGTAGACTAGGTTTGCGTGTTTATTTGTTTATCACGCTGAGACGTACTTATGGTACGCTCGGTAAGAACTCTATTAGAACGACATG